GACCGCTCCAGCCCTGGCAGACTGATCACACCAAAACCCTCAAAACGACACAGTCGTGCCCTGGAGCGACTATGGCGCAAAACCAAATCCCAACAAGCCTTCACCCGCTACAAATCTGCCTTCCGCACCTACACCTCCTCCCTCCATGCTGCCAAACAGGCCTACTTCTTGACCCTCATCAAGGCCCTCTCCTCCAATCCTCGCCGACTCTTCTCTGCCTTCAATTCTCTACTCTCTCCACCCCCACCTCCACCCAGCACCTCACTCACTGCCCTTGAGATTGCCAATCACTTCAAAAACAAAATTGACACAATTCGCAAGGACATTGCCGCAACTCACACGCCCTCTCAACCCGTCCCCTCTCACACAGCTACCCCCCCTTATCCCCCCCCCCCCTCGACATAACCCGCAGGGACTTCGTCGCTGCTCAAACTCTCTCCAACCCCCTTCACCCTCACTCAGCTACCCCCTCATCACCCCTCTCCCACAGCCCCACCACTGCTCTGACCTCCTCTTCCACCCCACCCTACATTCCTCATACTAAAGCTCCCCCAACACTCCACACCTTTGACCTTACTACCATCGAGGAAGTCTCCAAGATCCTCTCTGATGCCCGCCTCACCACCTGCCCCCTCGACCCTATCCCTATCTCACAACTCCTACGACCTTCCTCCTCCTCCTCCATCCTACGCTCCCTCACCCACATCTTCAATCTCTCCCTCTCCTCAGGCACTTTCCCCCCCCCTCCCCTCTGAAACATGCACACATCACCCCCATACTTAAAAAGCCCTCCCTGGACCCCAATGACCCGAACAACCTCAGACCCATCTCCCTGCTCCCATTTACATCTAAACTCCTCGAGCGCCTAGTCTACACCCGCCTATGCTCTCACCTCAACGACAACAACCTCCTCGATCCCCTACAGTCCAGCTTCCGTCCCCTACACTCCACCGAAACTGCCTTACTCAAACTCTCCAACGACCTGCTAACCGCCAAAGCTAATGGCCACTATTCAGTGCTCCTACTCCTTGACCTCTCTGCGGCCTTCGACACAGTCGACCACCCCCTTCTCCTCAAAAAACTACACTCCCTCGGCCTCAGAGATTCTGCTCTCTCCTGGCTCTCATCCTACCTGTCACAACGCTCCTTCAGCGTTACCTATAATGCTACCACCTCCCCCTCACTCCCCCTCTCTGTTGGGGTCCCTCAAGGCTCTGTCCTCGGGCCCCTTCTCTTCTCCATCTATACCTCCTCCCTTGGCCAACTCATACACTCTCACGGCTTCAACTACCACCTCTATGCCGACGACACACAAAATCTATCTCTCGACCCCCCACCTCACCCCCTTGGTCTCAGCCCGAATCACACACCTACTGAGCGACATATCAGACTGGATGTCGCTCCACTTCCTTAAATTGAACCTCTCCAAAACCGAGTTTCTTGTCTTCCCCCCAGCCCGGACACCACCCCCCATTGATTTCTCCATCACATCCAACAACGCTACCATCAAACCCGCCCTGCAGGCCAGAGTACTGGGTGTCATTCTGGACTCCAACCTATCCTTCCAGCCCCAAGTCCAATCTTTAAAAAACTCGTGCAGACTCCACCTCCGCAACATCGCCAAAATCCGCACGTTCCTAACCCCAGAAACCACTAAACAGCTCATCCACTCCCTCATCATATCACGACTCGACTACTGCAACTCCCTCCTCACTGGCCTGCCTCGCCGCTGGCTATCCCCTCTTCAGTCCATCCTGAACACGGCTGCCAGACTCATTCACCTTTCCAACCGCACTGTCTCCGCCACCCCCCTCTGCCAATCCCTCCACTGGCTTCCGATTGCGCAACGGATCAAATTCAAAATCCTAACGCTGACGTACAAAGCTGTCCACCATACTGCCCCGAACTACATCACTGACCTAATATCCAAGTACCCGCCCAGCACGCACACTCCGCTCCTCACAAGACCTCCTTCTCTCTAGTTCCCTGGTCTCCTCCTCCCATGCCCGCCTCCAGGACTTCTCCAGGGTGTCACCCATCCTCTGGAACTCCCTGCCCCAACCCATCAGATTATCACCTACTCTCCTCTCCTTTAGGCGCACCCTGAAAACCCATCTCTTCAGGGAAGCCTACCCCACCCCCTGCTAACTTGCCGATCTCCTCCACTCTTCCTACCACTCCATCCCCCACAGCTATCTCCTCCTGTGCCACCACCCCCCTCCCTCCTAGATTGTAAGCTCGAAAGAGCAGGGCCCTTGATCCCCTCATGTTTTGCATTGTATTGGTATTGTTCTGTCACATGTTCTGTCTCCCTTTTGTAATGTACAGCGCTGAGCGAACTATTGGCGCTTTATAAATACTGTATAATAATAATAATAATAATGGTTCTTTATATGATAGATGAGGGATGAGATACGTTTGCAGTCTGATTTATATAATTATTGCATTGAAGCATGTCTCCAATGGCAGTGTCCAGCTTCCCATGCATTTGTATAAGACAGTTTGCTAGATATCCTTAAAAGTGGTCCAAATTTAACAAAAAAATTCACCCCCAAAGACTTCAATTGGTCTCGGCTCCAAGTTCGGGTTCACTGAATTTTGACCAAAATTCACCAAACCTATAGCAAAGCAAATCTGGGCAGATTCTTCTATCACTAGTCATCACTTTGTGCAACACATTTTACAGAAAAAATAGATATACTTCTGTATAGTGTATAGAAAGTGTGGTTTGCATGTATGAAGCACTGGGTTGAACCCACAGCATCTCCAGTGTTTATTTTAACTAGCTAACACATTGAAAAGCACATTTAAATTTTAGAAGCATGAAGGGGACATAGCTTACAGGAAGATCACATGCTTTGCCTATGTGAGACCCTGTGCTCAATCCCTGGCATCTCCATACATTTTAATGTGTAAAAAAATGAGCAATATATGCCAGGGCAACCATCCTCCCCATACTTGTTTAAGCATACTTTTATTCTTATTGACTTTACAGAAAAACAACCCATTACGGATTTGCTACCAAGTCTGAGTAACCCACGGTATTGGGAATTTAAGAGCTACTACAAGAAACACACAAACTGCTTTACATTTTGGAGGGAATGGGATAGGTAAAGAGAGAACTTTCTGCATGTATTATTCCCGGGGGCCTAATTCATTGCTTAGCTAGGAAAATATCTTGCAAAGAGAGAAATAACATTTTAACAAACATTATAGTTCAACACACTTCCCTTGTGCAATATCATTTCAAAATGTTCAGACAAAAAAATACCCTGAAAATTTGAGGAATGTAGTCCAGAGGTAGAGAATAAGCTTTGCCCGTGTGAGGTTTTGGATTCAACCTTCAGCATCTCCATTGTTTTTTTTTTGCGTTATGGCACTGCATTACTTTAACTGACAATTGCACGGTCATGCAATGCTGCACCCAAATTAAATTTATGTCCTTTTTCTCCCACAAATTGAGCTTTCTTTTGGTGGTATTTGATCACCTGTGCTTTTTTTATTTTTTGCGCTATAAAAAAAAAGACCAACAATTTTGAGAAAAAAATAATATTTTTTGCTTTTTGCTATTAAACATGTCCATTAAAAAAAATGTCAACATAAATTTAAGCCAAAATGGATTCTGCTTTGCTAAAAAAAAATTCAATACGTATACCGTATTTTTCGCTGCATAAGACGCACCTGACCATAAGACGCACCTAGGTTTTAGAGGCAGAAAACAGGAAAAAAAAATTCTGAACTAATGGACTGCAGACATAGTACAGGAGATGGCCAGAGACTGCGGACACAGTACAGGAGATGACCAGAGACTGCGGACACAGTACAGGAGATGGCCAGAGACTGCGGACACAGTACAGGAGATGACCAGAGACTGCTGACACAGTACAGGAGATGACCAGAGACTGCGGACACAGTTCAGGGGATGACCAGAGACTGCGGCCACAGTACAGGAGATGACCAGAGACTGCGGACACAGTACAGGACATGACCAGAGACTGCGGACACAGTACAGGAGATGACCAGAGACTGCGGACACAGTGCAGGGGATGACCAGAGACTGCGGACACAGTGCAGGAGATGACCAGAGACTGCGGACACAGTACAGGAGATGACCAGAGACTGCGGACATAGTGCAGGGGATGACCAGAGACCGCGGACACAGTACAGGGAATGACCAGAGACTGCAGGCACAGTGCAGGGGATGACCAGAGACTGCGGACAGCACAGGGATGACCAGAGACTGCGGACAGCACAGGGATGACCAGAGACTGTGGATAGTACAGGGGATGACTGCTGACCTTTGGGGAGGGGGGGGAGGGGGGGAGCGGGTACCTGAATTTGACAGGTACCCGTTCCCACTTCCGCGGAGTTGTTCTTTCATCTTACCTGTTCCTCTATCCAGCCGCGCGCTGTCTTCCCGGCTTCTGTAATGGCACTCGGCATGACAGCCGGGTGCCCAGTGCACATGAGCGAGAAGCACTTGCGCTTTGTGATTGGTCCGGCGGCTTCTGGGATCTGTCATGTGTCCCAGGTGCCGCCTTACCATTCACAAAAAGCACCGCTTCCTGCGCATGCGCATTTGGCACCCGGCTGTCATGCCCACACTACAGAAGCCGGGAAGACCGTGCCGCTGGATAGAGGAATGGGTAAGATGAAAGAACAACTCCACGGAAGTGGGAGCGGGTACCTGTCAAATTCAGGTACCCGCTCCCCCCCCTCCCCAAAGGTCAGCAGTCATCTCTATAAGGTCCTGCTGTAGAGCTGAGCGGCCGGCCCGGTATTCTGACACGGCGGCAGTGGAAATACCGGACCGGCCGCTCCATATTCGCTCCATAAGATGCACTGACATTTTCCCCCCTTTTTTGGGGGAAAAAAGTGCGTCTTATGGTGCGAAAAATACGGTAAATAAATGGGTTTACATGAAAGTTATAGTGTTTACAAATGGCGGTATATATATACTGGGATTTTTTTTTTTAATTTTTACTAGTAATGGCAGCGATCAGTGACTTATAGCGGGACTGTGGGACTGCGGCGGACATTCTGACTCTGGGGGGAACTGACTTGGTGTCACTGACATCCCCAGTGACACCAATACAGTGATCAGTGCTAATAAAATGCACTGACACTGTACCAATGGCACTGGGCAGGAAAGGGTTAACATCTAGGGCAATCCAAGGGTTAACTGTGTTCTGGGTGTGTTTTACTATGTGCTGTGTCTGTGTGCTTCACTATAAACACACTGTTTTGCATGGCTCTGCTGAGCACAGCCATTCAAAGCACTGCATGAGCTGACAGGGAGGAGAAATGTTTTGTTTACTAACAGTTCTGCCCCCCATTGGAGATCCTCGGCAATCACCGGGTGCCAGCGAGTAGTCACCGGCCAGGACCCCATGATTGACAGCCGCGGCCTCAATTGGCGTCGCTGGTAGGGCGTGCAAGCCCCCTACCCGGAAATGCGAAATCATGTATATACATGTGATTTTGCGCACCCGTGCCACCCTGTAGCAGTATTTCTGCTATAGGGTGGAGGGGAAGTGGTTAAAAAAAAATGCTAATAGGTGTTTTTTTCAAAATGTACACTGAACTGCACATACTCAGCTCGGTATATAATAAAGGGGACTTTTAGATAAGCCAGCCTCCTCACTATAAGTGGTGGCACAGACCAACCAACTAAAACTGATGCACTCATAATCTGGTGCAACCGTGCATGGTAGCCAATCAGCTTCTAAATTCAGTTTGTTCAATTAAGCTTTGGCAATAAAACCTGGAAGCTGATTATTTCTATGCAAAGTTGCACCAGATCTTTCACTCTCCAGTTTTAGTAAATAACCCCCGTAGTGTCAGTAAATTGGAAATTGTTGTTGGGAAAGCTGACAAACTGCATTCATAAAGATTAGAGTCAGTTAGAAAAATGTACCTTAATTCTGATTGATAGCTTTTTTTTTTAATTAATACTGAGCATTTTTTTGTCTTTCATTTTATTTTGTGGTTGATTTGAGGTCAGTGGTCACTTTTAGCTACTGTCTCATTCATAAAAACAATTTAAAATTGAAATAAATTAGGATCGGCTGCTATGTAAGCCAAGCTAATTGTAAAAGAAAAAACTTATTCCACAGCTAAATATACATTGCCAGAATATTCCCTCCAAGTAAATCAGACAGTTCTGTAATACCATGTACAGCCTTAATGCATCCCCAAGCATGATATTTAAAAAAAAAAATCTGTATTTTTTGGTTTGACCTCAAAAATGCATCAATAAAGATCCTCTCCCTGCTGTTTGGTATCTTTTATGTTTTGTTTTTTAATTATGTCCTAATGACAATGCCCAGATTTGCTTGCTTTTTTGACAGTAATTTGCTTAATATGTCCAGAATTTACCAAGATTCACCCCCATTGAGTGCAATATGATTCCTCTCTAAATTTGTGTTTGCTGATTTTGAGCAAAATCTGCTGAACCCTTTCTTTAACCACTTCCTGTCCGGCCCATGTACATAAACGGCCGGACAGGAGCAGTGCAGGAGTCGGTTTCCGTTCGTAAACGGCGCCCGCATTTACAGCCTGTGCGCACTCCTTGTGAGCGCGCGGCACCATGATCCATTGCAAGCTGTATCCTCCGGACACAGAGGAACATCAATCGCTGTACAGGACCTCTGTGTGAGGTCCCGATTCATGTGATCACTGATTGGCTAATCAGTGATCACATGAATAGTAGTAAACAAGATGTCACTTCCTGACATCATTGCTTACTACTTGTGAAATCTGGGAATGATCACAGAAGTCACATGGTACAAGGCTATTCACAACAGCCTTGTACCATGTGACAAGCTGTAACCAATCACAACTCTCACAGTATTTTCAATGGCTGCAAGAATGCAGTCAGAGAGAAGGAGAAATGATTGCTTTTACAGCCTTTATAGGTGTAAAAGCAATCAGTGTAAAAAAAAAAAAATTGTCATCACCCCCCCACAAGTAGTACAGTGTCACTATGGTGAAACTGTACTGCTAGGGTGACAGTATGTTAAAAAAAACATAAATAATAATATATAAGAAAAAAAAATTGCGGGTTATAAACTAATTTGGGTTATTTTTTGTTTTTACTAAAAAGATAACTGAATACATTTTGGCCAAGATTTATGCAGAAATATTATTTATTTGCAAAATTATATAAGAAAAACACTTTTTTTCAAAATTTTTGGACTTTTCATTTATATATATATATATATATATATATATATATATATATATATATATAATAAAAAAATCCCAGTGGTGAACAAATACCACCAAAGTAAAGATTTATCTGTCTCACAAAAAATGCTAAAAAATTCATATGGGTACAGTGTTGCATGACCACGCAATTGTCATTCAAAGTGTGATAGCACTGAAAGCTGAAAATTGGCCTGGGCAGGAAGGGGGTAAACGTGTCCAGACTTGAAGTGGTTAAAGTACTATACAAATTGTTATAAACAGGGGTGAGTGTCAGAGATTAAAAAAAAGTTTGAAATAAGGAGGGCATACACTTACAAAGTAAACCATTATGCAGCAAGAAAACAAGATACCACAAGAGTGATATCCCTGACCTATAACCTTTGTGTTTATTTAGATTTACTATTTACATTTCTCAGTCAACCCCTAACCTTATACAAGGGAAATGTCTTCTTTTGCTCAAGAATCTCTTTTGTTCAACAGACAATAATAAGAGAACAGATTCCCTGTATGTAAGATGTTTACAGACCTGACCTGTCTTTATCTTACAAGTTCTCAACAACTAGTTGACACACTAAAATGAGCCAGATGTCTATCAAAAGAGCCTTTAAGCACACAACCTTTGACATCCCCTCTGCTGTGATATCCTCTTACACAGAAAATATGCAAATTCCCCAACACACCAAATAAATAAATAAATTGTGTTTATTGTAAAGACAGCATTACATAAGGTATAAGACACCAATGTTTTGGGGCTTCTTCCTCAAGGGAGCGTAGTGACGTCACTATGTTTCCTTGGGAAAGGGATCCTGCAAGACCCAAAAACACTGGTTTCCTATTTTTATGTGATGCTGTCTTCACAATAAACACGTGAAATGCATTTATTTGAGGTGTTGCTGACTTCACATCTTTGTATTTGGTTCTTGGACTTTCACTTAGAGCACCCATAATTACAAGGTTGAGTATTGTGAGGAGAGCAGCTTCTTTTTGGACTTTACAGACTCTCTAGACTATTCTGAACATTTTCTTATTTTGCTGGTCCTCACCTAACTTAGAATATTGTGATAATGTGTAAACAGGATTATAAGAGATGACTATTTCTTTTGATGATGGGAAGAAAGTGTTGTTGATAACTGTACAGAGATATGAATCCTCTTTTTATCATGGTCTCTTTAAGGCAACTGCCTACTGTACCTAGTGGTCCAGCCATTACTACAGCCAAACCCAACCTAGTCAAGCTCTGCCATACCTACATGTAGCATACAAGACAGCAAGAAACAGCAATGGTTCCCAATCCATTGGCTCTGGGCCACACTGCTAACCTTAATTCAAGAATACTTGGAAAAGGCCTTGTATCACCTGCCCAATAAGCAGTTTTTCCGGTACATCTAATTGCATCATGCTTATCAGTCACAATTTTTCCCTGAAACTCATAAACCCCTGGATGTGTGTAGGACTAGGTGGAAGTCAGCGGTCCCTGATCTTGACACGGAGGACTGGGAGGATGTTTGGGATGCTCCTTTCATGAGACTGGTGACACATGACCAACTAATATATTTTAAATTTTTTCACCGCATATATATGACTCCAGCAAAAATTGCTAAGATTTTTGGATCAGCTCCTCTTGTTGGCATTGATTGCCAGAGGGGGCTGATTTCATGTACATATTTTGTACAGGGGTTTTGGTCTGAGGACCTCCGGTGCATTCAAGCTGTGACCACTATACCGTTACTCTCATCCATGAGACATTGTGTCTGAAGTTGGGTAGACGACTTAGCCCCCACTAAAGCTATATGAACACTGCTTACTTTTCTATCATGCTAGAAAACTGATTGTTCTCTCTTGAAAAAAAAACTAATATTCCCACTGTGAAGGCCTGGAAATCCCAGGTGAACAAGGTTTGGGGTGGGTGGGTAGCATGCCCCCTTTACCGTTTCGGATTGTACCACATTCTAACAAATTTTTTCTTATTCGGTTCTCTAGCTTTGGTTTTCTGTTTTTGGATTTTTTTTTCTTCCACGGTATTTATACAGGATTTGTTTGCTATACTGTTTTGACTTAGCATGCCATTTTGTATTTCTAATGGAGTATGGATTGTTCTCTTAATGCAACTCTGTACTGTGAATCATAGTGAGGTGCTTTTGTTTTATATTTTTGACTATCCATTCTGTGGGCCCCTATCGGGATTTCTAGAGGCATAGTTATTGTTTTGCTCGTTATATTGTATTTTTTTTGTTTTGTTTTTTTTTACTTTGTTTGTCACTGCTTAGTAGCTCTGCAACTGTACTTTACTGCTTTTGTATGATGTATTTTATGCAAAATTTCAATAAAAAGAATTTTCCAAAAAGCTACATTAGTTAAAGAGCTGTAAGTAGTCTATTCTATGAATTACCTTTTAACAATCACAATTGTTTGCATATTGTGTGAACCATTGGTTTGTATGAGTGTAATCAGGAGTCTCCTGGGTGGAGCATCATTGCTTAGAAACCAAGCAGAGAGCAATGGTTTGATGTATGCCACTATGGTATCCTAGAAAATGAGCTCCACTGTGAATTGGCCACATGGCATTACAATAAACTAGTGCAAATGCACAGTGCTTTCCAGGGAATTAGGAAATCAGATAAGCATCCTTGGATGCCAGTGATGCATCTGATCCCTTCAAAAGTTAAGTTTTCCATTCTCACCAACTTACTAATTGACTTATTCATTGAGCATGCTCTAGACAGCTGGCTTGTATTTAACCATACAAATTCTGACAGACAGACAGACAGACAGACAGACAGACAGACAGACAGACAGACAGACAGACAGACAGACAGACAGACAGACAGACAGACAGACAGACAGACAGACAGATAGACAGATAGATAGATAGATAGAACCGAGGAGTAGGGCCCTCCTATCCCTGTTGTATTGAACTGTATTGTTGCTGTATTTGTCTCCCATTATATTGTAAAGCGCCGAGAAAACTGTTGACGCTATATAAATCCTGTATAATAATAATAATAATATATATATATATATAAAGTAAAACAGAAATACACAACTGAAACTTCCTTTATTATCTTGTTGTTGAAGAATAAAGAACAGTCCTCACAACAATTCCATTTGTTCATTTAGTATGGAAAGTTTCAGGCATCCCCTGATTTGTCCTTATGTTTATTGCACAAATGTTATCATTTTTGATGATAATTGTCCATAAATTGAAAATTGAAAA